CCTTTCTTCCTCCCTCTTGTGGGATCCAAGCTGTATTGGGGCAGAAAGGCTGTGATTCCCACCCTGCTGAAGGACAGAGACAGGGTTTAGAGTGGTGCTCAGGGGTTCTCTGGAGGCTCAGGCTGGTGGAGGTGGGATTGCCTGGAGCTTCTGGAGCTGCTCACTGGGCCCAACACCAGAGTCCTCACCTGACAGGGAGAGCAGAGCCTCAACCTGGGGACCTTCCCAGGGGCAGATCAGCCTCTCTCTCCTGCCTGGCCAGAGGTTTTTGCTGCCATCTCTCAGGCAGCAGCAAATTTGGGAGAAATCAGTATCATTTTTCCTGGGAAGGTGGAAAACCAAGGCAGACCCGTTGCTATGGTTGCCACAGACCGTCCTTGATGCAACATCGTGTCAAGCAGCTCTGCAAGCAGATGTGCCACAGCTGGAAAGCAAAGTGATTCCTGCAGCTGTGAGCATGGCATGGAAGGCCACACACGGTCCCCTCTGCTCCCATAGCCTCCCCTGGCATGCTGGTTGTGCCTGTGGCTATGTGTCCCTATCCAGGACCCTCCCTGGCAGCAAAAATCCCATCAATGGAAGCAGCACTGGGGAGGGGGAACGTGGCTCCGACAGTAAGCAATGCATGTAGGTGTTTAAAAATAACACAGTTGGAATATTTGTCATTCAGTGTGTGCATGTGTGGATAAAGTACTTGATAGCAGATGCAAATGCTGCTTGAACAAGGGGGATGCTGAACACTGGCTGAGCACAACAACCATTTCTAAATCTTTTGTCCCTAAGAAATTGTAGAATCATCAGTTTACGGGGGTTTTCAGCTTGGCTTAATACAACTTGGGCCATTTGCACTGGGTCCTGCTGTCACCTTTGGAGACAGAGGGCTCAGGCTCTGCCTCCTGCCACTCTCCAGGGCTCACTGCTCTTTGCTACAAGGATTTTAGCATCTTATCCTAAAATGCACCTGACAGCCTCATCAGAGGGCTGGAGAGAAGCCAGCACTGCCACTGAGAGCCAGAGAAGGAGCAGAGAGTGTGCAGAGCCCAGGGCCTGACCCAGAAATGTGTTCAGGTGCAAAGACCTGCTGCTGATTCCTGGTGCTCACCTGGGCTCTGCCTTTTGCACTTGGGGCACACATTTTGGGATCTGTCCCCTTGAGCCCCCTGCAGTGCTTCTGCCCTTGCCCACACCAAGGGCTCTGGGGGTGACAGGTGGCTCTGGGATCTGCAGGGTTGGTGTCCCTGTGCCAGGAGCCAGCACCTTCCAAGGAACCTTTGCAGTGCAGTGGGGTGATGTTCCCTCTGGCCACTTCTCCTTGGTCCCCTTTCTGGGCCCCAGTGCCCCCCAGGATGGGCTGAGTGGCTGGGGGAATCCTGCTCAGCCCAAGCCCCATCTCCAGAGGCACAGGCTCCAGTGAACAGACCTTTCCCTCTGTGCTGCTCAGGGATGCTCCAGATCCTGGCTCTGACTGGCTGCCAGCCAGGCCTCCCGAGGGCCCAGGGGGCTGGTTAAGCTCATTGCTTTTCTTTCAGAGGCTTCAGAAAGCCGCCTGCCCACATTTAATTCAAATTTATTGAATAATTCTCCTGGGAACAACTAGTTCAAGACCAAGCACTACCACAGACCATCAATGAGATCAGTTGGCACGGCCCCGGCCCTGGAGTGCTCTGTCCCCTCCAGCACATCTCCATGGTGGTGCCAAGGGGATGGGGAGTGCAGGACCAGGCGCCTGGCCCAGGGCAGACTTGGCTCAGCTCTAAACCTGGCTGCCTGCATTGCCTCCAGCCCCAGGGGATGTTTTGAGGTCTGTTAATATCCCTCCCACTTCCACCCCAAACCTGTTTCAGCCTTTGAGCCGAGGTCCCCGGGCAGCAGTCCCAGAACAGGGCTGGCTCAGCCCTCACCTGCCTCCCAAGCCCGTTGCCAGCTGGCTGTGCTGCACAGGTGGGGAGACGCCATATCCCCGTTGGGATGCACAGGTACTGCTGGATGCACCTCCTGCTGTGGTGGGATTCACATCCACCACTGGGCGCAGAAATCTGAGGCCACATGGACGAGCCAGAGCCAAGCTGGGAGCACAGGGATGAGACCCCAGCTCCAGCAAGCAGGCAGTGAGTGATGAGACCATCCAGATCCTGGAGATGGGCATCCCAGAGGAAGGCTGCTCTCTAGGAAAGCAGTTTTACTTTGCTCACCCCGAGCAATTTTGAGGGTGTGTCGTGTGCCACATTCTTACGACATCCTGGGAGCTGTACCTGAGAACAAGGCCGGGGACATGCTGCCTTCATCCCTGGCTCCCCTGCAGCTGTGTGGCTCCAGGAGGGCAGCCCACGGTGTGCCTTGTGTTATGCAATTAGCCACTGCTCAGAGGAAAACTAATGATCTTCATTAATGAGTGCAGCACCAGTCGGTCAGGGCCTGACGTCCTGCTCGGGGGCATGTGCAGTCATGCAGCAGGACTGAGTCACAGCTCTGGAAATGATGCTGTGGGGAGGGCAGCCTTCGTTAGCTCTGGGCACGGGTTGCTCTGCAGCACGTACAGAAGGGCAGGTCCTGCCACCCTCCATCCATCCCTCGTGCCCCAAGCTGTTGGGCAGGAGTTGTGACTGCTCAACCTGCTTTCCCACAAGGGATGGGTTCAGGCAACGTGCCAGAGCCTGGAAAATGGCACCTGTGGCTGTGATTCATCCTGGAAGGGGCAGGAGTGCCCAGGGACCTTCCCCCAGTGCAGTGGCTGTATTGCAGCATGGGATGGGACAGCGAGCCTCCCACCTCTTCCTGGGAGGATTCCATCCACATCCCCCTTGTCACGATCATTGGATGCTGGCAGGCTGGAGCCACCACCTCAGGATTCACAGAGCCACAGCAGGGGCTCAACAAGCTGTAGCCAGAGGCACCCACCTGATTTGTAGCCCTTGCCCAGGCCACAAGCAGGAGGGAGTGATACCTACAAGGAAAGCCTGTGTTTGTTGTACAATCTTGATTTTCCTGTGCTGGATGCATGGCTGATTTAGGGCAGAGAGGGGGTGCAATCCCACCCTGTGTCCCAGAGGGTGCCTGGTGCTTGGGGAGGCTCCCAGGGAGGGAAGGGGGCTGTGTGCTGAGCAGAGAGGGGTGTTGAGCAAAGCCCTGATAAACCCCACATGTGTTTATTTTGGGCAGAATCCGACCGAGATGTGGGGTGGGCTCTGCCCCTCGGCCAGGCTCAGGTTTGCCTCTGGAGGGAAGAATCCACTGCCTTGGGGTTGTGCTGCCCAGCATCACAAACCGAATCTGAGCAGCCAGGGAGCCGGGGGGTCTGTATGACACGGCACAGCATCGCTTCCCGTGGCGAGGCCACGGCCGGCAGTGCTGCCGCGCGGGAAAGCACAGAGGAGCATTTTACAAACACAGCTGAGGAGCATTTTTCAAACTCAGCCTTCGGATGCTCGCAGAGGCTTTGGGGCCGGTTGGTAACGTATGAGAGACGCGGCGGGTGGGTGGGAGCAGGCTGGAAGAGGCACTCGCTGCTGCTGCCTTCCCCCTGGAGAGGCACTGTGCGCGCTCCGACTGCTCACAAGGCAGCCGAGCTGGCCCTGGGCAGCGTGGCAGGGGGCCCCAGGGGACCCTCACAGATGGGGGTGCCTCAGGGGATCGGCACCAGGAGGGGCCCCAGGGACCTCCCACCCACGGGGTACATGGGGGACTTCCATGTCCGAGGATGCCCTGCACTTACAGCGCTGCCCCGGGGGACCCCCGCCCACCGAGGTGCCCCAGAGACCCTCACCCACAGGGTACCCTGGGGACCCTCAGCTCCGAGACTGCCCCGGGGGACCTGCAATTACAGGCACTCCCAGGGGACTCGCTCTGCTGAGGACACCCTGGGGACCTTCTTCCCCAGATCTGTCCTGGGGGACCCTTACTCTCAGGGGCATCCCAGGAACCCCCACATCCAGGATTGTCCCGGCGTGACTCTGCCCCGCAGGGGCATCCCAGTGACCCGCTATGCAGAGGACAGAGGATGCTCCAGGGACCAGGGATGCTCCAGTCCAGGGACCCACAGGGGTGCGCTGGGGGCACCTGACACGGCTCTCCTAAGGACACGCCCTGAGGGAGATACCCAGGGGGGACACCTCATCCCGGGGATACTCTATTCATCGGGAATGCCCCCATCCATCGGGAATGCCCCCATCCATCGGGGACGCCCCATCCATCGGGGATGACCCATCCATCCCGTATGTCACCGTCCATCACGGCTGCCCCATCCATGAGGGATGCCCACATCCATAAGGGATGTCCCCGTCCGTCGGGAATGCTGTCATCCATCATATATGCCCCAATCGCGTACACCCCATCCATCGGGGATGCCCCCAACAACCGTGCGTGCCCCATCCATCGGGGATGCCCCCATCCACGGGTGACACCCCATCCCCGCGGGGTGCCGGGGCTCCAGGGTGGCGGTGGCAGGGTGGGATCTCGCAGCGCGGCTCCGGGCGGGCGGAGGGGTCGCTGTTGCCGCCAGCACGGCCAACCACCACCAACCCCCCCGCTCTCCCCCTCACTCACTCCGCCGCCTTTTGTTCGCCGCCCGCGCTCGTCCCCGCCCGGCGGCGGCGGCGGGCGGAGCCGGGGCCGAGCCGGGGCCGCAGCCGCAGCCGCAGCCGGGGCCGAGCCCAGCGCAGCGCAGCGGGAGATGGAGGCCGAGCCGGCAGAGCCGGGTCCCCCCGCGCCGCCGCCGCCTCCACCTCCGCCGCCGCTCCCGGAGAGGAAGAAGAAGCCGCAGCGGGCGCCGTCGCCCGCCCGCCCCAAGGAGGTGCCCGGCTGGTCGCTGGCCAAGAGCCGGCGCGGCGGCCCCGGCGGGCACCCGGGCGCGGCCCCGCGGCTGTCGGCGGGCGGAGCGCACCCGCACCCGCACCCGCGGCGGGCGGGCGGCAAGGACGGGCGGCCCGAGAAGCGGGGGCCGGCGGGGGCTCGCCCCGGCGGTAAAGGGCCGGCGGGGCGCGGCGCGGCGCGGCCGAAGGGCCGGCGGCACGGAGCCGACACGGCGGCCCCCGGGGCGCGGAGAACGGCGTCGGTGCCCGGCTCGGTGCCGGCGCCCGGGCCGAGCTCCGGGCTGACCGACAGCAGCTCGGAGGTGTCGGACTGCAGCGCCTCGGAGGAGGCGAAGCTGCTCTCGCTGGAGCTGGGGCTGAGCGGCAGCGATGGCGAGTCCCCCGGCAGCGCCCCGCCGCCGCCGCCCTCGGCCGGGGAGGCGTCGCCGCTGCCCGAGGAGCCCTCGGTCGCCTCCGTGGCCAGCAGCCGCCTGCACCTCAGCACCTCGCTCGCTTTCTCCGACCTCACCGAGGAGCTGCTGGACGCCGGCACCGACGGGCTGCTCCGCGAGCTGGAGGACCTGCGCTCCGAGAACGACTATCTCAAGGTGGGCACGGCGGGACGTCCCCGGGCACGGCTCGGTGTGGCGTGGTATCCCTGGGCAGTACTGTGGCAAAACGTGGCATGGGTCAGCCAGGGTCAGCATCGCTGTCCGTAGCGTGGTTAAACGTCCTAGAGCTTTGCAGGACATCTGAGGGCACGGCTCAGCATGGCACAGCATCCTTGGACGTAGCATGGCATGGTGTGGCATCCCTGTGCACGGCTCGGCATGGTACAGCACCTCTGGGCAATAGCATGGCACAGCATCCCTGGGAATGGCATGGCATGGCACAGCACAGCATCCCAAAGTGTAGCTCAGTGTGGCACAGCATCCTTAGGTACAGTGTGGTGGCAGGGCACCCCAGGGCATGGCTGGGCACAGGGCACAGTTTGTCTCAACCCAGGGTGCCCTGGCTCAGCCTGGCATGACATCACCAAGCACAGCCTGGCCTGACTTTGTTGGGCAGACTAGCACACTATGGCTGGGTGCAGGGCTTGGCATGGCTCAGCCCAACATGGCATCACTGGCATGGCACAGCCAGGGATGACCTGTCATGTTGTGGCTGGGCCTGGCTTGGCTCATCTTGGCACAGTGTGGCATGACTGGATGTAGGGCCCAGCTTAACTAAGCCTGGCATGGCCCCACTGGACTTAGGGCAGAGCTCTATGGCTGTGGCACAGCATGGCCCAGCTGGGCATGGTCCAGCATGGTGTGGCATGGCTGGCACTGCTTGGCTCAGCGTATCATGGCATGGCTTGGCACAGGGCAGGCACTGGCACAACATGGGCCAGCTCAGCCTGGCATTACCCAGCTGGGCATGGCTTGCCCTGGCACAGCACAGATGGGTGTAGCATGGCCAAGCCTAGCATGGCCCTAGCTCAGCATGGCGAGGCTCAGCACAGCCTGGGCTGGCACAGCTTAGTAAGGTGCAGCTCAGCATGGCACGATTTGGCTCAGCCTGGTTTGGTATCCTGGGACACAATATGGCATAACCTGACCTTGTGCAGCTGGGCACAGCCCACCCTGGCACAGGGTAGGATGCTCCCTGCTGCTCTCCCTGCCCGCTGATGCTGCCAGACCCTCAGGAGATTTTCCAGCTCTCTTCTTCCCACTGGTTCCTGTGCTCCCTGGGGCCTTTTTCCAGGCGTGCAGAGTGGCTGCCTGGTTCATGGGTGCATGGTGAAGCCAGGGCAGACATGCTGTGAGGGGACAGGGGCACAGAGCCATTCTGCCTCTGGTCACACATTGGCCTGATGCACTTTGGTACACTCTGCCTGCTGCAGGGTGGGCACCAGCACCCACCAGGTGCCACGTCCCGGGGGGCTGCAGGCGTTTTGAACCTCTGCTCTCCTTCAGGGTGGAGCTGTGCGTGAGATGCTTGTGCAGCCACATGCTACAGGGTTCAGGGATGGGTACCAGGTGTCCCTGGCTGCTCTTCGGATGCCACAGGTTGGAAGTCAGGCCATCTGCTGGTGCCCACGTTTGTAAATGTGTTGGGATTGCAGCCCCGAGGTGGGAGCTGGGCACTGGTGACATGCTCGAAGATGGTCAATCAGGCCCTTTGTCCGTTAGCAAAGCCTCAGTTCACAGCTGGTGTCCCAACTCCTGCCAGAATTAGCAGCAACAGCTTAAGGGCTTTGATTTACTGGGAGTTGGAAAAATACAGATGAGGCCCCTCCGTTTCCAAGAACATGCGTGTGAGCGCTGCCATTCCTGTGGACAGAGCGATTGCTTCCTCCATGTCCACAGGATCTCCTTCCTGGCAAGCTGCAGGCATGTGGGGTGTGAGTGTTTTACCTGCCATGAGGAGTGGCAGCTCAAATCCCCTGGCCAAGAGCAGTGGGAAAGTGGAGAGCTGCTGGAGGTGTGCACCAAGACTGACCGTGGGGATGCTGGTGGCATCCTCCCTTCTCTGTCAGCATGTGTGTCTCCTCCCTGGCATGTGCATCCTGCTTATATCCATGTTTCTGTGTTGGAGCTCGCTTCTCCTGATGCTCAAGCAGAAGACTGGGGTGGTACCCTGGCTTCAGCTGGGCAGAAGCCCAGAGCACACTCCCTTGTGCTCCAAAAAATGCTGGAAGGTTTGCCTAGTTTCTCCAGCAAGGAGCAGAAAACTGGGCTGGGCTGCAGCAGAGTGCTGGTTTGTGCTGTCTGTGCTAAAAATTCAGGGATTTGAGGACTTAGGGCAAAAATAAAGCCCTAACCCAAGCGTTGGCATTGCCTGCCTTGCCACGCAGCTCCCTTCTCCTGGGTATGGATGAATCAGGCTTATCCAAGGTGACTTATTTCCTAGGACTCACTCAAGTAGCTGCAGATGAATATTTTTTTTTAATGTATTCACCAGAGCCAGCTAAAACCTAGTGCGTACTGAAAGCGAGATGAGGATTTTTGGGGGTGGGAGGGTTTTGGTGACGTTCTGGCATGAGCCAGACGTGTGTGGTACTACTACGCCCGTGTGCTGCACGCTGGGTTTGGGAGCTTCCCAGCAGAGCTCCAGCAGTGCCAGCTCACGTCCCATCTTTCCTCGGCTGACATAATAAAATGTACATGTTTAAACACACTTCACCCATTTCTCTTTGCAGCCCAGATCTGTGCAAGGCTCTGCCTCCCTCCTTCCACCCTGGGAGCACCAGGCGGGCCGGTGCCTCCTCTTGTCCCCGCTCCCAGGGTGCTGCACCTGCTGTAACCCTCCCTAAATGGGTTATTCCAAGTGTTTTCCCAAAAAGGGGCCGTTCCTCACGTGCAGGTTGGCAGCCTGGTGAGGGAGGAGGTGTCTTGGGTGTCCTTGCCCCGTCTCACTGTCGCTGAGCCGTGTGCTGGAGAGCAGCTCCCAGCCCTGCTCAGCGGGCTGGAAAATGTGAGATGTGATACGGCAGCAGCTGCGGAGGGACAGGCAGACAAAGAGTGGGCATGGAGAGGGTTTGGAGCGAGGGGAGGGGATGCCTGCAAACCCTTTCCTCTCCTCTCTGCGGGAAGGGATTTAGGCAAGAGTCATATAATGCTGGGAGCACAGCCCTGCCTGTGCCTTCCTGCTGCTTGTCCCCCTCCCGCTCCCTGCCCTGAGTCATCCCACATCCCTCGGGGTTTGCATGCATTTCCCAGCTCTAGGAGAAACATGCAGATGAGTGGGTGCCTTGTTTTCCCCAAGGCAGTCAGGGACCAGCACATACCACCAGCGAGGGCTCTCAGAGCATCCCGAAGGGGCACTGGAGGCTGTGTCTGGGCAGCCTGGTTGGCACTGGGGCCCTGCTCTGCTGCTGCTCAGATTCTACCCAGCCACAGGGACAGGGACAATTCCCAGAGATCCCAGTAACCACCTGCAGAGCCATGGCACATGGCTTTGCCATGGAAAGGTCTTTGCAGCCTCTTGCCTTTTTGGATGGTGCACGACATGGGGTTGGGCTGCAGAGAGCCCCCAGCTGTTTGCCTGTGAATTTATGGGGGCAGGCGTAAAGCCGAGAAATGTTGATTTTTCCCTCACTCCCAGTGCTGAGTGGGAGCTGGTGTGCTGGCCAGGGGCAGGGATCAGTGCACAGGGTGCTGCACTGAGCTCCATCCAGCATGACGTGGAGGGAAGGATGGCTGGTGTTTGCTGTCAGAGCTGGGCTAGAGCTGCTGTTAATGCACCTAAAAAAAAATCACACCTTTTGTGTGATATGGGTGTGCCTTGCCCATCCTTCCACCCACTGCACCCCAGCACAGGCTCGGGCTGGGCTGCATTTGCTGGGAACCCCTGGCTAGAAAGGGACATGCCTGAGCACCCTGGGCAGTTTCCTTTAAGAACCCCCTCTGATTTTATTTTCTCCCTATCAAATTCTAGCATAATTCCCTCTCCTGCCTGGGCGCTCAGAGTTAATTGAAAGCTGCTGCTTTTGTCCTGTAATCTCGGAGGAAGCCGGTGCTTGTTGCTCCTGCACGGTAATCCCTGTCTTTGCACGAGGGGAGGGAGCCGCAGGCGCAGCCGCTGCCAGCAGGACCCTGAGATTTGCACAAAGGCATCACTGCAAAACATCCAGGCAGCTTCCAGCCTTTCTCTTCCTCTACATCCTGCACTGAGGTTTAGGGGTGCTGGTGGGGGATGCAGGCAGGGCTGTGCCCCCCAAAGCGCTGCCCGTCCCCCACGGCCAGGCGGCTGCTGCTTGGCTGTGCCCCAGAGCCTGGGGCTGCCAAAGTGAGGGTGTGTGTGCTGGCAGCGGCTCCAGAGCCAGCCATGGCGGCATTTGCATGATCCTGTTTTGTATCCCTGGCTGCTTTCTGCTTCCCAGAGATAGCGGGTCCTGCTGAGGAGCTGCCGGCACTGCGCAGAGTGCCCTGCTCTGCTCTGAGCTCACTGCATTCTTGCACTCACTGAAGCCAGCAGGTAACTCCCCTTGGGCAGGAGATCCAAAGGTTTAACTCTTCTTCTGCGACCTTTGATGGGTCTGGTCTGCATTTTGAGGTGTGCTCTGCTGTCCCCACTGGCCCCCCTTCTGCCCTGCCGCTGCTCAGGGCCATCACCCTAAAGCTCAGCCCTTTCCAGGTCTTGCCCTTCCAGGAAGAGCTGCTGTCCTGCAAGTGGAGGTGTGGACACGGCTGTTACCTCCTCCTGCTCCGAAAATGCACGGTTCCTTTTTCCTGAACTGGAACCAGGCACTTTGCATCCCACCTTTCCGCTTCTTAGTTTCCTTAATAACCTCCCTAGGGAGAGACAGTTGTCTCCGAGGTTTGTGCGGAGGAGTTTGAAGGAAGGTTGTCTCTTGGGCTCCTCCATCGAGGGTAACCTGGCTCCTGCAGACACAAAATGGGCTGTTTGCTTCTGCACACAGTCCTTTGGGCATTCAAATGAGTCTCCCTGGACTGCAGATTCCCAGTGTCTTTTCCAAGTCAGGTGATTTCTGGTGTAAAAACACCATGAAATCTTTGCTGCTGCAGAGACAGGATGAGCAGGATGCAGCAGTGGGTAATCCTGGAGGATGGAGGGTGTGAGCACCCCAGGAGCATTTGGAGGCTGTGACTGCACACAGGGGTGGGCACCCTGTTGTTTATGGGACAAGGGGCTGAGCACAGCAGCTGTGTTGGAGAGAAGTCATTTATCTCCTCCTCAGTGTTGCCCACCTCGTCTCCATTTCGCACTTCATGTAGCACTGCTTACGGTGCACCATGCTCACAGTGCCACCCCCTGAATTTGTGGGGTTTCTGTGGGTTTCCTCCCTTCCCCTGGCTCTGCTCTCACCTTAGTCCAATGGATTTTTTGCTGAGTTGGGCATCAACTCTGGAAGATGTGCAGATGCACAGGGTGAGGCTCAGTGGCTGTCAGAGACTCCTGAATCCATAAAGAGCCCCCTGCGCTGCCTCCAGACCCCACAGGGCTGCTCTTTTGCCATGGCCTGGCTGTGAAGGAGGTCAGCTCTGCCCTCCTAAGGTCTCCTCCAGTTAGCTGGCATTTTTCCACTCCCCAGTCCTAATCCCTTTACTATGGCTTAGTGGCGTGGCTTCCTTCCTTGGGGCAAGCTGGGGCTGCCGGGCTGTGGCCACTCCAAGGGTTTATTGGCATTATAGGATGCAGGTAAATTCCTGCAGCTGGAGTGAAGGGAGGCACCGCTTTCCCAGTTCCCCCCCCAGTGCCAGCCCTGCTTCAAAATCCCCCAGCCCCACTCCACAGGGAGGCAGGCAGTGAAGGAGCAGCTCAGGGCTGTGCCTCCGGGCTTTGCCCAGGCCGTGGATTGTGGATCACGCTGGACACGGCCTCCCCCTAAAATAACGGTTGCTACAACCCGAGGCATAAACAAGCAGGAGCTCTTAGCAGGGCAAGCCCAGGCTTCCTTCCAAGCAAATGCAAGGTTTGGTTGGGTTTTTTCCAAGGTCCCTGCTCCCTGCCCTGCTCAGCTGCTGCCTGGGGAAGCCGCATGGCAAACGGGAGCAGGAATGATCCGTGCTGGAGTGGGATTGGAATTGTATTCAAGCCACGATTCTCCTGACTTTGGTAGCGAGGCTGTTTTCCATCCCCCGTTGCACTGCGCCTGCTCACCTGCAATCCATAATGCTTTTTGTCTTATGAAAGTTCCCAAGGAATAGATGCCATAAACCAGCTCCCTGGGCTGGTTTGGCTCGGGGGGGTTTTGCTGGTGTCCCCAGGGCTGTGGCACTGCCATGGGGGTGGGTTCCCAGCGAGTTTGTCACCCCAGGGTGTGTCACAGCCACCACAGGGCTGTCTGCCAGCACATGTGGTTCATCCATGGGGGATTTCACATCTGAAATCCGGGGGGATTTCAGGTGTCCGGAGGGGTTTCCAAAACGTGTCTGCAGTGATGCCCTTGCACAGGGCGGTCTCTGGCTGTCCCTGGAATAGCCTGGCTGGCTGTCCCTGGAACCTCCCACAGCCCATCTCGGAGCCTCAGGCTATTTCTGCTCTGCTGTTGTTCTCAAGACCCCCCAGCAAGCAGCAGGGCAGTGGAGGGTGGCCGGACACTGGTGGCCATGGTGCCACCCGGCTCTGCCAGCCCAGGCCAGGAGATAATCTGGGATTGTCTAATTGACGTTCCTTCTTTGTCACAAAGTGTTTAAAGCCAACAGTGAGTGACTGTGACTTGTCCCTGCAGCTGCCACCCCCCTCCCTGGGCTCAGCTCTGCCTTTTGGGGAGTTCTTGCAGCTGGGGCTTTGTCTGGGCCGGGCGAGCGCGGCAGCCGCGGTGCCAGCGCCTGGCAGAGCCGGCACAGAGCTGCGGTCCCAGGCTCTAGGACACTGTCACGGGCAGTGTGGGGAGCAGGGGGGTCCTGTCCCCCTCTGCCCAGGGTGAATCAGGGCTGAGCATCCCCACTGCCTGTGCTGGATCCTCGTGTCCCTCCCCTGGCCATGCCGTGGTGCAGGGTGGCAGTGTGAGCCCCTCGCTTCTCAAGTGGCAGTTGTGTTTGGCAGCAGTGGGTGGTGTTTAGTGGCAGGGTTTTTGGCAGGAATGCAGGTACTTGATCCCTTAGCAGGAGTGTGCTGGGTCCACTGGCTCTTGTCGAGGAGAAGAGCCGGTGTGATGGCTGGAGCATTTGCTTAGGATTTGGGTTGAATCTATGTTCATGGCTACATGAAAGGAGCTTTGGGCAGTGCAGCCTGTGTGGATCCATAGGGGACAGTCCTTGAGCATTCCCAGTGGCCACAGCCCTGTGCTGGATGAGGGGGTGGCACTGGGGGTTCCACAGCAGTTGTGTGCTGGAGGATGCTTTGGGTTGGCACTGGTGCCAGCAACCCCTGGCCCTGCTGTGACAGTGATGCAAAGGCTTCATGCCAGAGGCTGTGCTGGTCTGGGAGAGGTTCATCCCTGGGAGAGCTGATGGGACTGGGAAGGGGTGGAAGTGGGCACCCAGCTCATTGACTGCTGCTTGGTGGCAAAACAAGGGGCAAGCTCTGGTTCCCCTCGCTGGTGACATCTCGTTCATGTCCCTGTATTGCCTCCCCTGTCCTCGCCTGCCGTCTCCTCCTTCCCTCCCTTGCCTCCCTGACACATCTTTTCCAAAGATAACCTAATTTTTCTCCCCGTGGCTGCCGCCTGAGCTGCTCCTGCAGCTCCTCTCCCTCCCCCACCTTCCTCTTTCTTTTACCACAAATATTCTCAGGCGCCCGTGTTGACCGTTCCCCCCCAACGGGTGTCTGGCTCGCCTGTGGGTGATGGTGCCCAGCTGGCTCTGAGCCCTTTTCCTGCCAGAACTGGGCTTGACCCAAGGAGTTGAAGGCCTGTGAAAATGGCTCGTGGGGTGGAGGAGGGCAGGGGAGCCACAGTGGCGAGATGTCCCACAGGTCTGCCCCCTCTGACACACGTCTCCCCACAGGACGAGATCGAGGAGCTGCGCGCCGAGATGCTGGAGATGAGGGATGTCTACATGGAGGAGGACGTGTACCAGCTGCAGGAGCTCCGGCAGCAGCTGGACCAGGCCAGCAAGACGTGCCGCATCCTGCAGTACCGGCTGCGCAAGGCCGAGCGCCGCAGCCTGCGCGTGGCACAGACCGGCCAGGTGGACGGAGAGCTCATCCACAGCCTCGAGCAGGACGTCAAGGTGAGCCTGGCAGGGACATCCCCACCCAGACAGGGCCCCCACAGTGGTTCTTGATGAGTCGTGGCTATGGAGGTGGTGGGGGATGTGGGGGTGTGGGGAGCTCCGTGGGGCTGTGCTGTTTGTGAGGCCGTTGATGGGGACATCATGATTCCCCACGAGCAGTGGTGATGTGAGAAGTGGGAGCAGTGCTTTGGCTGCTTTGGCTGCATCTCCGAGGACATCTCTGGGTGGAGATGGCCAGCATGGCCCAAGGATGAGGGTCTCAGTGCCATATGTGAGGTTCATCCTTTGCTTTGATGGGGATGCAATGGGGCCACCACTGAGGGCATGAGCGTGCAGGGAGGGAGTGTGGGGACCAGGACCCTGGGGACCTGGGAGCTGCTCCTCTCAGCCCGTGGGGAAACCTTGCAGAGCCCCAGGAATCACAGCACTCCAGGCTGGGGCAGGGAGGAGGGGATTTCTGCAGGGTGACGTTGCTCTGCCCTCAAGGAGCCGCTGGTGCCAGTGAGTGTTTGCTGTGGGCTCTTGCTGACACAGCTGCTACCAGGAGGGGGGTGCGGTGCCCGTCGGAGACAGCTCTGCATGGATGGGCAGCAGCTCGAGGACTAACTTTGTTTTTTGAGCAGAAAAACACAAGTGTAGGGCTGTGAACCCGCCTTGTGCTGCCCATCCCTGCTGGGGCCCTGATCCCCTCCCCAAACCTCCCATCAGCCCCCAGCTTGGGCTGCTGCTGCCAAAAACGCCTCCTCCGGCTTCTCCCTTTATGGGAAAGAAAGCACAAGCCCATCCTTGGGGGAACAGGAGCCTGACCCCATGGCCTGAGCCCCCCCAGCCCTACAGAGGGGCTTGCTGCTTCCTCCTCAGCGCTGGTGTCCTGGGCTGTGCAGGGGAACACGGGCACTGGGGACAATTTTTCCCTTCCTATGTATGCAAGAGTGAATGTTTTGTGTTATTAAGCTCCCTTTATGCCAGGGGCTGCTCCCTTGCAGGGATCTGGAGAGAGGGGAGGCTCTGAGGTGGATGTAGGCACCCTTCACCTCGCGGCAGCTGCTGGTTTTTCTGTAATGTGATGCAGCAGCTCGCCTTTCTCCTGACCAGCACAGCTGCTGCCCACAGCGAGAGGCTGCCTGTTCTGATGCTTCCCAACAGATTTTCCAACTGTCTGGGGGCTTTTCCAGCCTCATGGTGTGGGAAAAAGGTAGAAAAAGGCAACAACAGCATTGGATTAGAGATGGAGGAGGCAGGTTGGCCAGGGGATGGGGGCACACACAGGAGTGTCTGCTCCAGAGGATCTCAGTAACAGCCTGACGTTCTCTGCATGAGTATTGTAGGTTCCCAGGAGCTGCAGTCCCAGCCCCCTGCACAGTGTGGCAGTCTGATGAGACCCCTGTTGTGTCCCCAGGTGGCCAAGGACGTCTCTGTGCGGCTCCACAATGAGCTGGAGATGGTGGAGAAGAAGAGGATCAGGCTGGAGGAGGAGAACGAGGACCTGCGCCAGCGGCTCATCGAGACCGAGCTGGCCAAGCAGGTGGTGCAGAACGAGATGGACAAGCTCCGAGAGGTGAGCGGGACACGGGAGGGGGCCCCGGGAGGAGTCCCCAAGGCTCTGCTCGTAGCAGGTGTCCTGGCCCTGAATCATGGGATCCCCCAACCCTGCTTGAGTCACTGAAACCCAAACCCTGCTGCAGATGCTTGTGAAACTTGAGCAGTGCCTGCCCTCGGCACGATTCATCCCACCCTGCGGGCACGGGCTGGCTCTGCCCCATCTAGAGGGGCTGCAGGACTTCCCCCCCTGTGCTAGAGACACTTTATATGTCCTCAGCCACTTGCTCAGCCTGGCCACCTGGGCCGTGCCCAACTCCCACTGGGCAAAGCCCAGCGTGATGTGTGGGGTCTGTGTGTCCCTGGCACAGTGCCCGGTGCTGGATGTATCCTGACCACATGCTGCTGGTTCAAACTGGGCTGAGCCATGGGGTGTGTGGCAGCCCTGTCCCAGCGGTGTCCCAGCAGTGTCCTGAAGGTGTCCTGGTGGTGCTGCAGAGCTGGGAGGGTGCACAACCCCCTCTGTGTCCTGGGCAGCCACACATGTACCCATATGCACATGTACCCAGGTCCAGGGCGCTCTGTGCCGCATTTGGGACCAGCTCCTGGCAGGATGTTATCCTTGGTGATAGGAAAGGCATCCCGGTGACAGCATGGACTTGTGATCCATTGCAGCACTTGTAACCCACTTCCTTACTGCCCGGGATGCCTTTGGTCCCCGGGGGGCCTCGGGAAGCACCGCTGGCTGAGCCATCAGGGCAGTGTGGGGGAGGAGACACAGGGAAGGCAAAGCTCTCACTTCCCCCACCGTGCTTCCTGCACACGGCTTGGGATCTCTGGGGCCAGCTCCGTTTAATGCCGGGACCAGCTCCTGGGAAGGAGCTGCAGGACCCGGCCGTGGTCACACCCGTCCCCTCTCAGCCGTCCTCCCGCTGGTGACACGGAGCAGTGTCCCCCGCACGGGGTGTCTCGTCCCTGGGCTGCGCAGGCTGCACTGACAGCCATGAAATGGGTTTCCCTGCAGCCGGGAGCGCGGGCTGAATAACAAATGGCAGCGGTGGGAGCTGGGAGGGAGCACTCCCGCGCCTGGAAAACAGGCAGAGAAAATGGTTGCGTGGTCAGTGTGAGGGGGGCTCCGAGAGGCAGCTGCTGCCTTGCCCTGGCTGGAGAGCGTGGGACAGGACAGGATACAGCCCCTCTGCAGCTGCCTGAGCCCGGGGGGGATGCTGCTGGCGGGTACAAGCTCAGAGATGGTCCCCAAGCTCGGGATGGAGTGTCCCCAGGCTAGCAAGGGCGTTGGGGTTACTCACTGATTGCAGAGTGCTAATTAGGCAAACATTAGTCAAAGTGAGCTAACAGCCCTCCTCCACCTCCTCCCTGCTGCTGGAGGGCGCAGAGCCTGGCAGAGCTCGTTAGCAGCCAAGCCAAGAGGCTGCACAGGGCTGGGCTCACCCCTCAGGGCTGATTATTTCTCCCTTCCAAGAGGTTTCTCCCATAATTGGATAATTGTCTGGGGATCATCCCCAAAGGCATAGGCATTTTCCTCTCTGCTCTACCCCTCCATGGCATCTCCTGGGGGGCAGGAATAAAGTAGGACCAATCCGGGTACCCTGTGCCAAACCTGCCACGTGGAGCTTGGCTGTGGCCAGACTCTCGGGTACAGCCACCCCAAGGGATGCTCCCAAGGTGGAGCAATGTCCCCTGACCCAGGGTGCTGTGCCTGGGGTGCTTGGGGCTGTTTGAGGCTGGTGATGTCCTGTGCCAGCCCCAGTCCCCAGCACAGTGGGGGTGAGGGATGTCGACGTGGCACAGCCAGCCCCTGGGAGAGGCTCTGCAGCTCCAGCAGCTCCAGTGATGGTCGTGGCCTTAATAGGAAAGCCTGGAGCCCGGCACCTTGGCACAGGCAGCAGCTTACATTTCACAGCTGCTTTCTTTGGCTGTTGGGCCTCAGCACCAGCTTGGAAATAGGTCCAGGGCAGCTGCATGGATCGTGCTCATGGGGGCTGTGTGGATGTTCTTGAAGGTTTTCCCCCAGCTCCCCTCCCCAGGGTGCTCTGGGCACCCGCTTTATTCTCACACTTTTGGTCTCCCTTATTGCTCTGCCTGCCTTCCCCACCTCCCAGCTGTCCTCACTAGCCTGGACATTGTCCCTTGTGTCCCCAGACACCCTGAGAGCAGAGTCAGCATTGTCCTGCTGAGGAGCCCTTGCCATAGCTGAGTGACCAGGACATGTCCCTTGCTTGGGGAAAAGGCGATGGGGAATGTCATCAACTGCTGCTCTCACACTGGAATGCCCTGAGAGCTGTCCTTTGGCCTGGGGGTTGGATTCCCTGCTCCATCCAGCCCTGACAGTGACTGTGACTCAGCCTCTCCGCTCTCCATGGCTCATTTCCTGCTCACTCCTGCTCTCTCACTGCTCACTTGCCTGCAGGGGGAATTTCTGGCCAAACCTCATGATGTGATGCTCGCCAGTCCAGCTCCCTCCAAGCAAAGGGCCTCCCTCAGCCCACTGGGGCTTGGGTGTATTCCTGGGGTTCACAAGCAGCTGGAAAAGTTGGTGTGGATGCTGGGTCTGTCTGTCTGTCTGTCTGCACTGGGGTGCTGTGTGCTTGCTACGGGTAACAGCTCTCTCTGCTCTCTGCAGAATTCCCTCAAGAAACGGGGGTCTCGTTCCCTTGGGAAGACAGAGAAGAAGCCATCAGTGCAGGTATCAGTGCCAGTGCATCCAGGACACGCCACAGTGACCCACCAACACCCAGGTCATGGTGCCAGCTGGAGAATACGCCCAGCCCAGGAGTAAATCTGGGCATGGCAGTGCCATCCCCTCCTTGCAGGGCTTTGCAGAGCTTTCCTGCCTCTCAAAGCCCCCGCATAAGGGAGGGATTGATGTGCTGGGCCATCCTCTTTGTCCTCAGCCGCTCCCTTGTCTCATTTATCAATGGAGCAGCAGTGGCCAGGCGGTGGCTTTAACCCTTTCCCTGTGTAAGGAGCTGAAGGACTTTGGCTTTTACGTTTCAAAGCTGCTCATGCCCTTGGATTGTGGCTGTCACAGCCTGGGTCCCTCCTGCCTGTCAACAGCTGTACTTGAGAGTGGCCCAGGAACCTCGATGGGTCTGGGAGAGCAGAGGGTCCCCACGGGGCATGGCTGGAGGCCACACGCTGTCCCTGCCCCTCGCAGGCTGCCGGGGCAGAGGAGGGGATGGGGGATTTGCTGGTGGCAGCAGGATTTCAGCTGTCACTTGCTGTTGGGCTGAGCTACTGTGACTCGCTAATGCTGTTACCAGGGCTGGGAGAGGCAGAGCTGCTGTTGCTGGGATAGATAGGCAAGAGGAAAAATCCTCTTTCAAAGGCAAAAAGACATGAAAGGTTTATTTTAGGGAGCAGATCTGTTCCCCCAAAGCTGGAGCAGGGAAGGAGATGCTGTAAAGCTACTCCTGACTGAGAGCATCTCATGGCAGGGACCCTGAGCACCCCAGGGGTTCTGGGTGACCTGTGTCCTTGCTGGCACAGCCCACTCTGTGCAGCTGCAGGACAGGGATCCCCAGGCCCTCAAAGACTTTCCCCTTCAGTCCTTCATTTGTTATTTCTCTTTAGCTCCATCCTCGAGATCCCTTTTCCAGCCAGCCCAGCGTCCTTCCCCCACTTCCCCAGAGAGCAGACTGTGGCTTTGCACCTACAGCCGGCTCTACCCCGAGCTGAGGAGGCCCCTCCATCACCCCTTTCCCAAGGCTGAAGCCCCTCCTCTGTCTCCTCCTGGGGCAGGAAACAACCCCCAGCTTTTGGCAGCAGTAAAACCCCTTCTGCTTCCCACACCCCTGCAGAGCTGAGACCCCTCAGCCTGGGGATGCAGGGCTGGATGCAGCCCCAGCTCTGTGATGGGACTAATGCTCCAGGAAGGAGCCCACCCTGGGCTTCCCTGGGTGCAAATGCCCCTGGATATGGCCCCTCCATCTGCTCCCTCTCCAGTGGCAGGGCTGGTGGCCCTGCGGGCACAGATGCTTGTGACTCATCGGTGGCTTCCTGGGCCCCTTTCCTGCCCAAGCCAAGCTGGGTGAGCATCAGCACTCACCAAAAATGGAGCTGTGGGGGACAGACTCGACACCAAGGTCTGCCCAGACCCCAGGGACACTCGAGAGGGTCCTGGGGATGTGTGTGTCCCTCTGGAGATGCCAAGGGGTAGAGGGACACGCCGGGCCGCTGCTTTTTTTTTTCCCCTGGAAAAACAGGAACTGAGGTCATGTCTGCCCTGGCGGGGAGAGCTGCCCGCCAGCCCTCCCCTAATCTCCACAGCTAATTAGGGGGATGCAGTTTAATGCGCCTTAACGAGGCCATGTCTCTGTGCACGAGCACAGAACAGCAGTAGTGTGGTTCCTGTGGTCACAGCAGGACATTTGGGGAATGAAATGTCACCCCAAACTCATGGGATCCCCCCCCTTCCCATCACCCTTGTTGTGAGCAGTCCAGGAAGTTTGCAGAGTAAATACCTGCTGCAGGGTTTAGGGTTGTGAGGGTGGGCATGGCTGGGAGAGCTGGGGCCTGGAACATCCAAAGAGGGGGACAGATTGTTTCTGCCAGCCAGGAAAAGGGGAAAGGAGATGAGTTCAGCTATGAAAAGGGCTGCCAGGGGCCACCAGCCACCTGGCCAAAGGGCTTGGCCACCTCCAGCACCCACCCAGCTCCAGCGAGTGCAGCAGGGTGAGGGTCACGGCCAGGCAGGTCCCCTCCTGGCAGCCACCACACCAGAGCTCAGAGCACTCAAGTGACCCCACGGCACGGGAAGCTGCGAGCTGGACGTCAGGAAATCCTGGTCCTCCATCCAAAAAGCTTCCCAGAGCAGAGGAACAGTCTGTCTGGGCAAATAGCCAAGGTCCTAACTGCTAAATAAAAAAAAAAAACAAACACACAGAGAAACAGTCCTGAGAAGCAAAGGGGCTGGGAAGGGACCAGAGAGCTGATGCTGAGGCTTTGCTTGGGTTTTCAGTCTCCTGGCAAAGTGGTGGCAGCGAGACCAAGGGCTGGATTTCGGGAGGTTTCCAGCTGAAACTGCTGCTTCTCTGCTCTGTGATGGAGTGTTTAGGGCTGGGTGGGAGGAGCAGAGCCTAGGGGAGGGTGTAGTGCAGTGGCAGCAGTGCCAGTTGTTTCAGTGCTTACTGGCTTTTGGGAGGAAACCTTGGTGACTTTTATTTTGCCCTGTGGAGTCTTGACAGCTTTCTTTTCTCCTCTGCCCTGTGGTGGATTGGGCTGGGCTTGGTCTACACATCCCTGCTGGTGGCTCGATGTCCTTCCTGGGGCCAGAGCCATGGGTCTCCTTGCCCAGGCTCGGTGCTGTCCCTGAAAGCCTCCAGGATAGATCTCAAAGCTTTTTCCCCTCCATGAGTGGCTGCAGCTTCCCTGGGCTGACTGGGGTGGGAGGGTGGCATGTCCCCAGGGCTCTCTCAGAGCCACCATGGCCCCTGTGAGCACCTTTCTAACACCCACGCCCTCTGTGTCCCCAGGAGGACAGCGCAGACCTGAAGTGCCAGCTGCATTTTGCCAAGGAGGAGTCGGCCCTGATGTGCAAGAAGCTGACCAAGCTGGCCAAGGAGAATGACGGGATGAAGGAGGAGCTGCTGAAGTACCGTTCCCTGTACGGGGACCTCGACAGCTCTCTCTCCGTGGAGGAGCTGGCTGACTCTCCCCATTCCCGCGAGGCCGAGCTGAAGGTGCACCTCAAGCTGGTGGAGGAGGAAGCCAACATCCTCAGCCGGAGGATAGTGGAGCTGGAGGTGGAGAACCGCGGGCTGCGGGCGGAGATGGACGACATGAAGGGCCAGGGGGACAGGGAGCTGCCGGGGCAGGACACGCGGTTCCTGGTGGGCATCTCGAGCTGCGGGGACGGAGGGGACACGGTGGCGGAGCTGCGCCGGCACCTGCAGTTTGTGGAGGAGGAGGCCGAGCTGCTGAGGCGCTCGCTGCTGGAGCTGGAGGACCAGAACAAGCTCCTGCTGAACGAGCTGAGCAAGTACAAGTCGGACCACGAGCTGGACGTGACGCTGTCGGAGGACAGCTGCTCGGTGGTCAGCGAGCCCTCGCAGGAGGAGCTGGCCACGGCCAAGGTGCAGATCAGCGAGCTGAGCGGGAAGGTGAAGAAGCTGCAGTACGAGAACCGCGTGCTGCTCTCCAACCTGCAGCGCTGCGACCTGGCCTCCTGCCAGACCACCCGGCCCATGCTGGAGACCGACGCCGAGGCCGGAGACTCGGCACAGTGCGTCCCCACCGTCGGCTGGAGGGACGGCACGGGCGGCGACGAGGCCGACGGGCAGGACAGGGTGCCTGGCAACGGGAAGGTGCTCGATGGCCCCGCCAAGGTGCTCAAGCCCAAAGACCTGGAGACCTTGCTGGGCATCAGGGACCAGGCGACGCTCGTCAGCAAAGCGATCGACGTCTTAATTTCGGATGCCAACGGCTTCACCTCCGGGCTGAAGGCTTGCTTGGACAACGAGTGCGCGGGGGTGCTGCTGGGCGAGGCGGTGGGCAGTGGTGGTGAGAGCCCCAGCGACGCCAAGCTGATGAACGTGCTCCTCATGCGGCTGGGAGTGCTCCAGCAGGACCTGGGCTGCCTCGTGAGGAAGGTGGACCACCTCACCGGCGGCATCAAGGAGCACACGGACTCTTTCCCCTTCTCCAGCCCCAGCAGCCACGACGTCACCAAAGAGGGGTTGCAGAAGGACCATTCCTCCGACTTCCAGGTACAGCTTCTTCCCACATCCCTCACAGCAGCTGCTGCTTTATTTGCTGCCCCATTTCCTCCTGCTTTAATGGAGCAAACCCTGATCCCCAGTGTAACCTCCCTCCTGCCTCTCTAGAGCGAAATCCAGACTAACACCTCACTGCATGCCAGTGGCACCGGGGACAAGGTAGGACTCTGCTCCAACAGAGTGTGCCCAGGGCAGGAGGCAGTGGGCATCCTGGCACATCCCACCACAGGCTGGTCGTGCCAAGGCTGCCCTGCCCGTGGCCAGGGGCTCTCAGGTGCAATCCTTCCTTATCAGGGGCTGATGTTTTGGCTGCTCAACCCAACATCCCCAGCTTGGAAGCTCTTTCGTGTTGGGGATGAGCTGGGTGGGAGGAGAGCAGCCTGTAGCCCCTGAAAGCAGCCCAAATTGTGGGGACCCCGCTTGCAGGAAGCCTCAGCCCCCAGGGGTGCCCAAGCAGGGTAATTTGGAGACCAAAGGCTCCAGGGCAAATCTGCATCCAATGAGGAGCACCTTTGGAGCAGCGGAGAGCAGCTCATGCCCTGCTATCACCCTCCTCTCAGGGGTCCCAGCCCATGCTGGGGACCAGGGATGTCAGTGGTGGTTGGGGCTGCGGGCACAGGCCCTTTTCTGGAGCACACTCCCTTGTTCAGAGTCCTATTTTTCTGCATGTGGTCCTACCAGTCCCGGGTCCCAGTCTCCCCCAGTCACCGCATGGCACCGTAACTGGTGTTTGCACATTTTTTCCCTCTTTCTCTCTTTCTTCCCCTTTCCCCAAACAATCCAGGCCACGTGTCTCCTCATCCTGTGTTTCCTTTTGGTTTCCGCATTGTCTCCCGCCATGGTGATGAAGCTCCTTCTCCTCCTCATCCTTTTTGTCGTCTTGTAGTTCTTTACTGTTTCGGAGACCCATTGTTTTGTTTTCTGGCTTTTTTTTCTTCCCGCTCTTTTGGTTTGTTCTCATTAACTTGCCCACGCATGCAGCAGCCTGATTTTAGGGACGCCGACCCTTTCCGCATCCCCCACGCCAAGGACACGGACCCCACACATCCCCGGAGCTACAAAACCTGCCGGCCTGAGGAGAACGACTCCTACGCCACCGAGGTATGACACGGGCAGGGAGCCACGTCCCCTGGGCCAGCAGGGCTGTGGGACAGGGGTGACAGCTGGGCACCGGGGAAGCTGCAGAGCCCCGCTGGGGAGGGACACGGGGAGGTGCAGCCAGACACAGCCCACCATCCCTGTGGTCTCTCTGGGCTGTTGCAGATGAAGGAGCTGCAGCTGGTGCTGTCAGAGGCCAACGAGAGCCTGCGGGGGCTGCAGGAGCAGCTCTCGCAGGAGAGGCAGCTGAGGAAGGACGAGGTGGACAACTTCTCACAGAAGATCTGCCAGGTGAGTAGGCAGCAGCCTGTCCCCACACTCGTGGCTGTGTCACCTCCAGCCCCAGCCCAATGACCTGCCTGGGGACCTGGGTGTCACCTGGGAGCGCACACAGCATGTCCCACCTTCAAGGGACACAGGCTGAGCTCACTCCTCTCACATGGGTGTGCAGCCATGCAGAGCTTCCCCTGTGGCGCTGCCTTGATGGCTCTGGTGTCCCCAGCACACTGCCAGGGCATTGCAGGTCCCCAGAATAGGGATATGGGGCTGACACCAGGCTCAGCCCAGACCCTGGGATGGAGACACCACCCCAGGTGCCCACACATCTCTCCACAGCTGAAGGAGGACCACCAGAAAGCGCTGCTGCGGCGGGAGTTTGAGCTGCAGAGCCTGAACCTGCAGAGGCGGCTGGAGCAGAAGTTCTGGAGCCAGGAGAAGAATCTGCTGGTGCAGGAGTCACAGCAGTTCAGGCAGAGCTTCCTTCTGCTCTTCATGAAGCTCAAGTGGTTCCTCAAGCGCTGGCGCCAGGGCAAGATGGTGCACAGTGAGGGCGAGGACTTTTTGGAGGTACAGTGGGCTGAGGGGCTCCCACCTCAGCTGCCTTGGAGGGGGAAACACGCTGTTGGACCTCCCCAGGGCTGTCCCTTGTGCCTACACGTCCCACCCAGGGCTGTTTGGGTGTCCCCTGTCCCTGGCCGTGGGCTGTGGGTCCCCTCCTCAGCCCAGCCGTGGTGTCTCCCACAGGTGAACAGCATGAAGGAGCTGTACCTGCTGCTGGAGGAGGAGGAGCTCGCCCCACAGCAACAGGCAGACAACAAGATGTGTGGTGGGGACACCTGGACCCCCAACACAGTGAGTGGGGTCCCCACAAGCCCAGGGGTGGATCGGGGCAGGATCAGCCCCCGCTGTGGCTGTGGTCTTGCAGTGCCATATGTGAGGTTCGACCTGTGCAGACTGGAGCCCAGGGGCTGAGCTCCCTTATCCTGCTTTGATGGGGATGCAATGGGGCCACCACTGAGGGCATGAGCGTGCAGGGAGGGAGTGTGGGGATCAGGACCCTGGGACCTGGGAGCTGCTCCTCTCAGCCCGTGGGGAAACCTTGCAGAGCCCCAGGAATCACAGCACTCCAGGCTGGGGCAGGGAGGAGGGGATTTCTGCAGGGTGACGTTGCTTTGCCCTCAAGGAGCCGCTGGTGCCAGTGAGTGTTTGCTGTGGGCTCTTGCTGACACAGCTGCTGCCAAGTGACGTGGGGTGGTGGTTCCTCTCGGGGTGCATGGCTGGGTGGGGATGCTCAGTGCAGACACATCACCCCCAGGGGTGGTTCCTGCCTTGGGAGCAGGGCTGGAATACAGAGAGGGCAGCTTCCATGGAGTCCCACCCCCTTGGGTACCCTCTGGGTCCCAGCTCCCTGTGCTCACCCCTGCTCCCTTGGCAGCCCAACGAGTGCATCAAGACTCTGGCCGACATGAAGGTGACCCTGAAGGAGCTGTGCACGGAGCTGCGGGAGGAGCGGCGCGGGGCCAGCGAGCTGCAGCAGCAGTTCACCAAGGCCAAGGCTGCCTGGGAGATGGAGCGCGCCGAGCTCAAGTGCCACATTGCCCAGGTGGGAGCCCTGGGCACCCCGCGGGCTGGCAGAGCCCCCTCCTTGCCTGGTTGGGGGCTGGGGGGCTGCCTGTGCCCCGTGCCAAGCACTGGCCGTTGGGCAGGGCTGGGAGCAGGGTGGCACTGTGGGAATCTTAATTAGCAGCCGCTCAGGCAGGCGAGTTTCTATAGCAACGAGGCTGGCATGGAAATCTGACTGTGGAGCAGCAGAGGATGCTCTTTATTCCTCTGCTGGGTTTGTATGGGGGGGTGGGATGGGACAGGGGCTCAGCATCCCTGCCCAGGACAGGCATCTGAGGGTGGCATCACAGCCCTCCTCTCCTCTCCCGAGTTACAGTGCAGGTGGGGGCTCTGCATCCCTGTGGATGCTGCAAAAGGAATGCATGGCTGTGGTGGGGGCAGGAGGTGGAGGGAGGGCAGCCTGGGCTTCTGCCTGCAGTCAGTCCCATTGGTCCCCCAGCCCTGCCCTCCCAGTGATGAGGGGTTTCTGCTCCATCACACTGTGTTGGCAGCAGCCCACAGCTGTACGTCAGCTCTGCTCCCTAGAGCAGGTGCCAGTGCTTTCCAGGCAGGATTTCTCCAGGCAGAGCTCAGCGGTGGTCCCCAAGTCCCCACTGCCCCTCAAAGAGAGCAGAGCTGCCGTGGTGGCAGCACCCCAGTGGCAGCAGCATCCTCAGGGTCTGCTCTGCCAGCCCTACAGGCGATGCTGCCCCTCTCCAGGAGCCAGGTCCCCCATGGAGGAGTGTGGGCAGAGCACAGCCAGGCAGGCAGGACGTTCAGCCTGTGTCCCACTGGGTGACCATCTGCCAGGCCAGCTGGCACAAGGTGGCTGCAAGCCAGGGCTGGCCATGGTGCACACAGCCTTGGGGACACGCTTGCTGACCGAGCTGGCAGCATGGGACCAGCACTGGGAAGCGGGATGCCCGCAGCCTTGCCCCTCTGCTGGAAGTGTCCAGCACTACTCTGGAGCCACGGGTCCCCCACAGCCACCAATGTGTCCCTGCAGCTGGAGTCAAAGGCAGGCAAAGGGATCGCAGAGCGAGCGCTGCCGGACTGGAAGGTGGCACTGAAGAGGGAGCGTGAGGAGCACCAGCATCTCTTGGCAGAGTCCTACAGCGCCGTCATGGACCTCACCAAGCAGCTGCAGATCAGTGAGAAGAACTGGAACCAGGAGAAGGTGGAGCTGCTGGCTCGCTTCAAGGAGGAGCAGCAGCAGGCAGAGCAGCAAGCAAAGGACCTGCAGAACAAACTCAACCAGGTATGATGTCCCCCATCCTGAATGTGTCCTCCAGCCTCTGCCATTTGCCCAGAGGGGCACATATTGCAGCTGTTGAATAACTGTCACATTCTCCAGTTGCAGAAAGGATCCAACCCGTGGGCATTGAAGCACTCGGAAATGGAGAAGCACGGCAGCAATTGGAAAGAGGTGGGTAAGAGAAGGTGGAGGACTCTCAGGGTGCTCGTTGGGCTCAGGTCTATGCTAAGGGTTAGTTGGGAGGTTGTGTTTACCACAGTTAACACCCTCTTAAACAGCAAATGATGCTGCAAATGGGAGCATCAGGAATTGGGAAGAATGAGAGGGTGGAGGGCATAGCTGAACCCCAAGAGCTTCCATGGGGTTATAAAAAGCTGATTTAAAATAGGTGTGGATGCAGTGAGCCCCATGCAACCCTGGGAATGGGATGCTGGGCCTGGGAGTGTGTGGGAAGCTGGTGGTGCTGGAGGGGAGCAGGATGCAGCCCATGCTCCAGCCCGTCTCTGTGCTTTGGTCCTGTGCTGGCTGACCCCGGAGCTTTCTCCTGTGCCCTCCTAGGCTCTCAATGAGAAAATCACAGACAAGGAGACAATCTCTGAAACAGAAGCCAAGGGAACCAACCTCAAAAGGTGAGTGTGCTGGTGCCTGCATGGTCTCCAGGGCACGGAGAAGGCCCCTAGGCTTGACATCCCTGACAATCAGGGAGAGATGCAGCCATGGTCCAGGGTAGTCCTGGAGGCCAAGGGCTCCCCATGAGGAGTAGGACTGGGTGCCCAAGAAGGTCCCATTGTGGTGGGAGCAGCGTGCCTTCAACTGTCCCCCAGCCTGCTGCCCTGTCCCCTTTTGATCCCAATCCTCTCCCCACAGGACCAAGTCGGTTTCCTCCATGTCAGAGTTCGAAAGCTTGCTCGACTGTTCTCCCTACCTCCCTGGAAAGACCGTGCCAGGGCTGGGTGACCATGCCCGGGGCAAAAAAGCATCCTCAGCCACCCAGCTGCTGCCCAATGGGATCCGGGACAGTGCCAGTGTTCCTCCCTCCAACTGTACATATGTGAATATTGAACAACCCGCCCCCGACAGCCTGGCCAAGGAGAAGCTGGGCGTGTCCTCCTGGGACTACTCTCGGGCAAGCAGCCTCTCCGGGCACGACCCAGCCCACAAACAAATACAGAGGAGCTACACGGCGCCCGACAAGACCGGGATCCGCATCTACTACAGCCCGCCGGTGGTGCGGCGGCTGGAGGCGCCTCTGGTGCACAACAAGGAGGGCAAGATCATGATCGAACCCGGGTTCTTGTTCACCATGGCCAAGCCAAAGGAGCCGGAGGAGTCGGCCAGCACCGAGGGCACCTACAGCCAGTGGCTGTGCAACTTCTCCAAGCAGCAGCGGGAGCTGCTGGACGGCGGCGCGGTGGAGGGCGCGGTGCCGCCGGTGCCGCGCTTCCCGCCGGCGCTGCACGACCTGGAGATCTCGGGCAACATGAGCGACGACATGAAGGAGATCACCAACTGCGTGCGGCAGGCCATCCGCTCCAGCTCCCTCGAGAGGAAGGTGAAAAGCACCTCCAGCCAGACGGTGGGGCTGGCCCACGTGGGGACACAGACCATCCAGACGGTGAGCGTCGGCCTCCAGACCGACCTCCCGCGCGGCGCCGGCGTGCACGGCAAGAGCTGGTCCCCGCGCAGCTCCTCCCTCGTGTCCGTGCGCAGCAAGCAGATCTCCTCCTCCCTGGATAAGGTCCACTCCAGGATCGAGCGGCCGTGCTGCTCCCCAAAATACGGCTCTCCGAAGCTCCAGAGGAGGTCTTCCTCCAAGCTGGACGCCTCCAAGGACAGGAGCCTGTGGAACTTGCACCAGGGCAAGCAGAACGGCTCCGCCTGGGCCCGCTCCACCACCACCCGCGACAGCCCCGTCCTCAGCAACATCAACGACGGCTTGTCCAGCTTGTTCAGCGTGGTGGAGCACGCGGGCAGCACCGAGTCCATCTGGAAGCCGGGCTGTCCTGAGAGCAGCCGGGCCAAGCCTGAAGCACCCAAGTATGGCCTCGTGCAGGAGTTCTTCAGGAATGTCTGCGGGCGGGCACAGAGCCCCACCACCCCCCAGGAGAAGAAGGAGGTCGCTGGGGAGGAGGGCAGCAAGAGAGCCGAGCACCCCAGCGCCGTCACCCACCACCCAGCTGAAAACATCTCCCGCGTCCTGAACAAGAAGGTCCTCAAGCAGAGCAGCTGCGAGGACCCCAAGCCCTCGTCCCCCGGGCAGGGCAGTAAGGACACAGCCCTGCGGGACCCCGACCTCATCTCGGCCTTAGCCAGCGAGGTAACGAGGCACGGTGCCCCCCGGGGTGTCCCGCCGTGGCGGGGGTCGGGGTGCCCGGCCCCTCTAACCCCGCTGTGCCCTGTCTATTTTTGCAGGACACGGCGTGTGACTGCAGCTCCCAGTCCCTCACCTCCTGCTTCGCCCGGCCGTCCCGCTCCGCCGTCCGCCACTCCCCCTCCAAGTGCAAACTGCACCCCGCGGACCCCCCCAGGGCGGAGGAGAAGCCGGGGGCCTCGAGTGAGTGAGGACGGGGGGCCGGGGGACGCAGCTATCCAGTGCCTGCTATCCAGAGTCCTGCCAGAAGAGCGCCCGCGCTGACGCCCGCGGGGGCCCCTCTCGGAGGCGGCGCGGGCGCATCTGTCTCCTAAACGTCCCCTCGCCCCCGGCGGGGACGCTTACGAAGCAGATGTGGGGCCGGAGGCTGCCGGTAGCCCTGGGGGGCGTGGGGACATCCCGGCCAGGGTGGTCACTTCACCTCCCGCTGCCGGCACTGGGGGGTCCGCACCGGTGCCCACCGCCCCGGGAATGTCAGCTGAGACCCCGCCATGCCGAGGGCTCGCCGGGCCCTGAGAAGGGGAGAGCAGCCGGGGGAGGCTGCTCGTGTGGACAGGGAGGGCTGGGGGGAAGCGTTCCCAGTGTGGAAGCACTGGCTGGAGGTGCGGTGGCCCTGCGGACGGAGGGTGTTGGCTCCGGTGCTGCCCGCCCTGCCCGGGCTCCAGCTCATCCTGCCAGCCCCGACTGCGGTGCTGGCTCTGGTGCTGCCAGCGCTGCCCGCCCTGCCCGGGCTCCAGCTCATCCCGCCGGCCCCGATTGCGGGCGGTTGCATCAGCCGCACGTGCTTCCCCGGGCAGGAAGGAGGAGGGAGGGAGGCTCCCTGCGGTCACCCGGGCTGCGCTGGCTGGGGGGGCCCTCCCTGGCCATCCTTCTGCTCTGGGGGTGCTGCTGAGGCCCTTTGCTGCTGGGAAAGGTCCTGGTGGTCCCCGGGGCTCCTCCAGCTGCAGGGATGGGGTCGCTGGGTGCATAGCGTGGGGAGAGGCAGTGTGTGCCTCTGTGTGTGTGCGTGTGTGTGCACGTCCCCTGCGCCCGAGGGGGACGTGGTGCCCCTGCCTTGCACCCACCTCCTTGCTTGGGGCCACTTGCAGTTATTTCTCCTCCAAGTGCTGAATATACATATTTCTCTTTTTTTTTTTTTTTCTCTTTTCTTGTTTTGTTGTTTGTTTGTTTGTTTTTTTCCCCTCCACTTCTGGCTCTGGCCAACTCCGGACAGCCTGCAATGTAAAACCAAGTGCATTTTAAAAATACCGAAATGAGCTACATTGGAGAGGTACCAATTGGATTAAGAGATTGTGGGTTGGGAGGCTGCAGCGTGGCCCGTGGTCTGCGCTGCACATCCTTCTGTCACCACCAGAAAAAGCCTTACCCGAGGAGGGAGGGGGCAGCAGCCACAGCCCCCACGGCAGTGCAGAGCTCCTGGGGCTGGGGGGCTGTGACCCAGCCCCACACAGAGCAGCGTTGGTGCTTCTGTGCAGCTCCAGGAGAGAGCAGAGATTTCTGAGGCAGCTGCCTGACCTATTTTCAAGCTGCCTGCCAGGGGCCAGGCAGGGATTCACCCAGATGGAGCTGCCTGCAGGTGCCTGTGGATCCTGGGGCTCTGTGCATTTCTCTAGGGCTGTGTACACTGCTCCAAGGGCTCCATGCACTGTTCCAAGGGGCTGTGTACCCTGCTCCAGGGGCTCTGTGTGCTGCTTCAAGGGCTCTACATTGCTCTGGAGCTCTGTACACTGCTTGTGGGGCTCCATACACTGCTCCAAGGGCTCTGTGTGTTACTCTGGGGCCGTGTACGCTGGTCCAAGGGCTTTGTAGACTGCCCCAGGACCTCTGTACGCTGCTCCAAGGGCTCTGTGCATTGCTCTGGGGGTGTTTACACTGCTCCCAGGGCCTCTGCACATTGTCATCCTGCAGTTCCACTTACAAACTGCTCGTGCTGCCGAGGCTGCTGCCCTCTCCCGTCCAGCCCAGCCGCTCTCTGCCCGCAGCAGCAGCAGGGCTGCATCACTGCCACGTCGCAGCCTCCGTCAGCACCTCCGCGACGGCCACTCACTGCCTGTGTCTCCAGACACAAACCAGCATCAGCCAGGGCTCCTCAGGCCCAGCACCGATGGCCTTTTGCTCCTGGCCCCACAGGGACCCTCGTCACGCGGGTGGGGGACGCACAGGGCAGGTGCCACCCACCCTCACCAGCAGCCGGGGCCGGGCGCTGTCCCTGCCTTGCCAGGGAGCAGTCGGGTCTCTGTCCCACAGCACTGCCACGGGCAATCTCCTGCTGTACATAGATCCTTTCGGGGTGGTTTTTAGCATTTTCATTGATAAATCGGGGGTTTGGTTTTGTTTGGTTTTGGTTTTGGTTTTTTGTTTTTTTTTTTTTTTTTAAAGACTCCTCTACTTTTGGAATGTGGTTTCTCATTTTTACAACTGCCTTTTAATTATTTGTAATATTGGTCAGTTCTGTCTTACTCTGTAAATAGCAGTGCTGGGCATTTCCCAGGGAGGCTGAGCCGAGGCTGGCAAGGGATTTGTCGGGAAAATTTGAGGTGTGGAGGTGGCTGATTCTACCCCAGCCCCTGCATGGACTCTGCCCTGTCCTCCCCATATGCCAGTGCCCAACCTGGGGTGAAGCCCAAGGTGTTTTGGGCAAAGCCACGCTTGCCCCTGCCCTGTCCTCCTGCCTCCTCTCACCAGCCCATGCCAAGGTCGCATGAAGGGCACCTTGTGCTCCGATGACAGGCTCCCTGCCCACCCTGTCCTGCACCCCTGTATCATGCCTGCTTGTTGTGTGATGAATAAAGGTCCTGCAACCCCTCACCCACACCCTTGGTGCTGCCTTCCCGTGCTGGGGTGGGGGGGAACCATGCTGCAGAGGGAGATGTGGGGTGATGCATCCTGTCCCTCTGTCCCCACCATCCTGCCTGATGCCCAGCCCACACACGGTGTCTCAGCCTCTCCTCACCCACCCCTCTCTCCCTGACACCGTCCCCATGTGCTGACCCCACCTGTGCCACAGCACCAGGGCTTCTTGTTACCCACCTGTGGGTGGGTCCTCCATGGCCTCACTGCCAGTGCTGTCACCCCACACCAGGCTCCTCTCAGCTTTGCATTGTTTGTGTGGTGCTGCTGTTTCTCATGTCCCGTCCCAGCCTGCCCAGCTCACCCCAGCCTGCACACACCCCCCACAGCCCCTTTCCCATCACTGCCTGTGGCTTCTTGTCCTTGTGCCCCTCGGTTGGACTCCATGAGCTCAGAGGTCTTTTCCAACCTTCATGATTTTGTGATTCTCTGATCACCTGCAGGTCCCAGCCTCCTCCAAGGCTCACTCCATTAAACTGTCCCTCCCTGAGGTCCTTCAACACCCACCGTGACCCACCTCTCTTTCTTTTGCTCCTCCATCATCTTTCATGTCCTATCCCTTTTGTCCCCGCCCTTTCATCCCTGCTCTTTGATCCCTTATGTCCCATCCCTCTTTATTCCACTCTTTCATCACCCACCTAACTCAGCCCAGCCCTCCTTCCTGTCATCCTCCATCACCCTCCACCCCATTCCTCCTTCCTGTGCTCCATCACCTACCACATCCCATCCCTTCTCCTGTGTGCCTCCTTTTATGTCCTACCCGTCCTTCTGCTGCTCCTCCATTGTCCACCCATCCCTCCTTCCTGTGCTGTCACCCAGTGTGTCCCATCCCACCCTGCCACCCTCATCCATCACCCACCAGGTCCCATCTTTCCTTTCTGTGCTCCTCCATCAGCCACCATGTCCTGTCCCTCCTTCCTGTTCTCCTGCATCCTCCATCATGTCCTATCCCTTCTTGTGCTCCAGTCACCTGTGACCTCCTATCCCTCCACATCCCACCTCTCCTTCCACACGTTCCAGTGTGCTATCAGCTGTGTCCCATCCCTCCCTGCCATGCTATGCTCTTCCATTACCCACCATGTCCCCTCCCACTCTCCCTGCATCCTACACTACATCTTCTCCCTCCTTGTTCTTCTCCACCACCCACCATCTCCGACCCCTGCTTCCTGTGCTCCTCCATTGCCCTCCATATCCACCTTCCAGTCTTCCTGTCACATTTGCATCCCATCCCTCTCTCCTGCCCTTCCTTCATTCACCACACCCCATTCCTTGTTATCCTCATTCACCTCCACCATCTCCTCATGTCTTCTCTTCCTTCTTCACCTCCACCCTGTGCTATCCATCCTCATCCTGCTTTGCCTCCAGCTTTCCATATTCATGTCAACATCTCACCATCTCTTCTTCAGCTCCCACCATCAGTCCTCTACATCTTACCATCATCTTGTCCCTGCTTATCCTCCATTAGCTCCCACCTCCACCCCATGTTCAACTTCTTCCACTCTTCATCTTCTCCACACCTTTCTTCATTCTCTTCTATCTCTTCCTATCTCCTCATTCAACTTCCTCCACTTCCCCATCCCAAAATCCACCCTCACCCCCCACCATTTCCCCATCCCCTCAACTGCGTCACCCAAATTTGCCTTCTCCTCCTCCACCCTCACATTTCCAATCCCCCCATGTGCTATTTTCCACCATCTCCTCATCCATCCTACTCCATTGCCCTCCAGTCTTTATCTTCTTCTATCCCTTAGATGTCTCTTCATCACTCCTGTCATTTTCATCCATATCCCAGTCTCCTCATCCTTTCTGTTCTCCATCTCCTCTCCCTTCTTTTCCTCCACCACCTGCCATATGTCCAGCCTCTTCATCCTCCCCAGCCTCTCTTTTCCTCTTCATTGTCCTTTCTACCATCTCCCATACCTTCTCCCTCATCCTCCATCTCATACTTCTTATTCCTCCACCTCAATCTCTCTGAGTCTCTCCTTCCTGTGACCCTCCACCTCCCAATGTCCTTTTTCCTGCTGTTTCACCTCTTGGCCTGTCCCTTTCATACTTTGGCTATCTCACCATTCCTTGTCATTTGCCTCCACAGTCTCCATTTCTCCTCATGCTCCTCCACCTCCCCCTATCTTCCCATCCCTCCTTATCCCCTAAGTGTCCTGCCTACCTCACAGATTTCCCCTCCACCCCCTCCCTATTCCTTCCTTAGCTCACAGTGTCCTCTCTCACTGTCCTTTCGTTCTCCTTCATCTCCCACTCCATCCTTACCTCCAATTTTCTCCCAGCCTGGCTTCTCCCATTTGTCCTCTCCTCCATCCTCCCTGCACTCTTTTACTCCCAGCACATCTGACTGCAGCTGCAATTTTCTGCTTCCCTTCCTCCTTCCCCTGCCTTGTATCCCATTCCTTCCTGACCCGGGAAGGCCACCACCAGCTCAGCCACCCCTGATGCAAGCAGGAAGGGCCCTTCCTGACATCAGGAAACACTTCTCCCTAGGGCTAGTGAAGCTGGAACTGGTCACTGGAGAAAGGGGAGGGTCTCTGCCGTTGGAAGGTTTCAGTTACTCAGCTAGATAAAGTCACCACTGCCCTGATTTAGCATTAGCAATAACTATTTTGGAACATGGAGCTCGACCAGATTCCCCTGGGATCCCTTCGTGCACGCACGTCTTTGGGAGACTTCCCCAAGCAGTGAAGTATTTCCAACAGGGACAAGACATGGCTTTGAATGCATCGCTTGGGATGCTGCAGGACATGAGGAACTATCCCTGCTACTTGCAGTGGCTCCATGGTGCTCAAGCAGAACCACCACACACTGCTCAAGCAGGACCATCCCATGGTGCTCTAGCAGGACCATTCCAATACTAAAAGAGGACCATCCCATGCTGCCTGAGCTGCACCATCCCACACTGCTCAAGTTAGCCACCTTGTGCATCTTGAGCAGGATCACCAGCCTGCTTGAGCAGGACCACCCCACCTTGCTTGAGCAGGAATACCCCAGCAGGACCATTCCATGCTGTTCTAGCAGGACCACCCTAATGCTGCTCCAGCAGAACCATCATTCTCATTGAGCAGGACCATCCCACACTGCTTGAGCAGCAGCACCCTGTGCTGCTTGAGCAGGACCTATCCAGGCTGCTTGAGCAGGCTCATCCAGCGTGGTGGAGCAGAACCTTCCCATGTTGCCCAAACAGGACCACCCCCTGTCATTTGAGCAGAACCATTCCAGGCTGTTCAAGTAGAACTATCCCAAGGCTGCTTGAGCACCATGGGCCAGGCCAAAGTGGCTTCCTAAAAGACTGCCAGCTCCCAGGCCAGTGAGCTATCCCTGACATGTTCCCTCAGACCCTAGAGCCAGGGATCCTTGCATCATCTTTGGTTTCCTTCCCTCGGGCTGGTCCATGCAGGGCCATGGCCATCCCCTTCCAATGGCCTTATGGCTGCTCTAGGGCACAGGGCTGCTGGCACTGCTGCCAAGGGAAGGACAGGTCTCCTCTCCATCCCAAGGAGCCCCATACCCTGAGGGACCTGCACGCAGGGCCTCTTCAGAGCATCCCATGTCACTCACGCACAAGGGCCAACCAACAACAGAGCCTCGCTTCTCTGCAGACTTTGCCTTCCAATGTTGGAGGCTCTCAGCCATTCCATGGAGGGCACCCTGCCCTTTCCAAGGGGATGTGTCTGAGGGACTGTCCCACTGCAATACAGGCAGGGGCAGGGCAGCCAGTGTCTTGATGGGGTGGGGGTGACATTCCTGCCCAAATGCCTTCTTCGCTGGGAAATCTGGGGGAGGGAATTTGCTACCTGTGTTAGGAACTAGCTGAACTTACGTGTCTGCCCAAGCTGGATTTCTTACTCCAAATGTTCAAACCGTTGTATATTGTACTGGGATTTTTACATTGAATTATTGTAGAAAACAAAAAATTTAAACCGAGTCTGTTAAAAAATAAACATTAAAAATCTCTATGAAAAAAATAAAGGTGAGCTTGTCTCCAAATCATCTCCTTACAAATGTGTCAGAGCAGGGACGTGTCCCCAGTGGTGGCTTTCCTGCATGAGACCACACCACCCTCTGGTGTCAGCACTGACCTCAGCTCTGTGCTGGCCCTGCTCCAGACGTGTCCCTGTGCTCCCAGCTCTGCCTGGCTGGGATCCTTGCAGATCCTTGCACCTTGCATCCTTGCACCACCCCAAATCCTGCTCACTCGAAGCAGGTCCCATCCTGCTCCCAGCACACAGACACCCTTGCATGGTGTGGGGCAGGACATGGCCAGGCGAGAAGGAAGCAAAGCAAGAGCAGAGCAGACCCTCTTTGTTGGGTGCTGTCCCTGTCCCTCACAGTCCCCCCAAGCACTGGTGCAGTCCTGCTGCCTCCCAGGCTGTCTGGAACGTGGGACGTGCTCCTGTGTCCACATGTTCCCATCCCGGCCCTTCATGTCCGAGTGGGGTGGCGGGTGTGGGGCTGGGCAACAGCTTCAGGCATCCCTGTGCAGGTAGGTGATGGCTTTCTTGCTGTTGGGTGCTGGAGAACCATCTGATACAGCTCAGCTTCAGCCTGCTCCAGGCTCTGGGCAGGGCAGAAGCAGGTGGTGCCAGGGGACAGTGTGGGGACACATGTGCCCAGTGCCAATGGCTGGGCTGAGACCCATGAGACCGGGCTGCAGGGAATTCATGCCTGGATCCTGCATCCCTGGCACTGCAGCTGACACTGCTGGCAGCTCAGACCCTGCACCGCTGCCACCACAGCCCCCACAGTGGTGCCACCTCAGACCCCACATCACTGGCAGGGGGCTCTGCATGGTTGGCAACTCATCATCTGAGGGCACAGCCACTGCCACCTGCCCACCCACGGGCCTGTGCCACCTAGACAGGACATGGCTGCTCCATGGGCCACAGTCACTGAGCTCCCCAGAGCTCCAGCTATCCCCATACTGCTCAATAAACCGGGGACAAAGGGAGGCAGCCACATTTCTGGGTGTGCAGAGACACTCTGACGCCTGGGGACAGCTCACAGGGGGAAGCTGGTTATTAAACCCAACCTCCTCTACGTGCTGCTGCTGAAGGCATCACCTCTCCCGAGCCCAGTTTCTCTTCCTCCATCAAATCTCTTACCGACCTGGCCCCCTCTTCGGAATGAAAATAGCAGCAGCTGGCAGAGCCCAAGTAAACAAATGAGCCACTGTGAGAGGAGAGAGCATCTTTATAAGTTAATTAGCCCCATCGAAGAGACAGACAGACATTTTCTTGTGGATAGATCGCTCAAGAAGCTCAGGCAAACAGCACTAACATGTCTCCTGGGTTTGATTTATAAGCCTGATTGCGTTACTAGCTCATCTCCATATAAAATGATTATGAATATATTGTCTGTACTCTGCAGAGGGCTAAATTACCAGGCTCTGATATTTATCAGCTACTCTTTGAATCTTAAGCAGCCTGAAATTCAGAGGTCTCTCTCTCTCCCAGGAAAAAGCAGAGGTAGAAAGGAAACAGCTCAGGCTTGATGCTTGTGTTCAGCACAACCTGGGTCGTTTTAACATCCTGATTAATACCCCAATATCCCCAATGCTGGAGCAGGAGGCTGGAGGGAGGGAGGCAGCTTGAGCCCAAGGGCTGTGGAGCCTGTGTGTGCTGGAACCCAGAGCCAAGCCTATGGTACTGAGCAGTTACATTTACAAACAAAGGAGCTGATAACTCCCAGCAGGACTGAAGGGCTGTTATCACGGTGCTGATTAAATTTCCTCTGCAGCCAGCCGACTGAGGAGGAGTGTCATCAGTGGGGAGACAGTGCAACACAGTGCTTAACCCTGTGCTGATTCATTCAGCATAAATGAAGGGCTGCCCAGCCTGGCCAGGTGCTGAAAATTAGCCCAGAAAACCCCAGAAGGAAGATCCACAGCCTGATCACACCCTCCCACTCCATCTGTGCCTCCCACTCCATCTCGCCCTTGCTCTGCAGGTCCCAGGAGCTTTTGCTCGCGTCGCTTGTGATTCCTTCCAGATCCTTTGCTCTTTTGTTCTGCTCAATTCTCTGCCTTTGCCTATGGTTAAAGAAAACTTTCCCACTGCAGGATATTCTGATAAAGCCTCCCACTGCCTGTGGCACGTCCATGCAAGGCATAAGCTCGTTTATGTGCTGTGACATGTTCACCAAGGATAAGGTCCATGCTAAAAAGATGCTTTCTCTGATTACCATCACCAAGATGCTGAAACTGCATAGCCAGACCCTGGTCCAGGCTGTCCTGTTCAGGAGATGGTCTGGGATGAGTGGGCAGGCAGTAGGAGAGCAGGTGGTTTGCTGTCCTTCTCCTCCACGCAAGGACAGGAGCCTCAGCCATCACACTGACCTTGGTGTTGCTCTCACACCTCTGTGCCTTCCTGGGTTGCATCCTTCCTGCTCTGTTGCCTCCTGCACACCCAGATTTTGGCAAGGAAGAAAAGACATTCAACTGCAGAATGAGCAGAGGAGCAAAAGAGCCCCAGAATGAGCAGAGGGGCAGAAGAGCCCCTTCCAGATGTTTCACTCAGAGCTGGTCCCAAAAGCAGCTGACAGTGACAGCACCCCAGAGCTGACCCCAACCATCTCCTACACAGAGCCCATCCCAGGCAAACTGAATGCATGTGCTCCCATGGGAGGGCTATCCCACAGCACACCTGGGACATGTCTCTGAAGGATCCCTGTGGTGGCAGAGATGGTGAGAAGTGTGGAGAGACCCTTGGAGATGCTTTGGCAGCACGTCCTCAGCAGGGCATGGAGGCTTTAACCACTTGTAACTCTCATATATTTTCGAGGGGAGTTTGGATCAAGTGCTCAGGGGGAGGGGGAGCAGGGGGAGGGAGGTCTGCTTGTTTCAAGCTACCACCTGGCTGATATGCTCAGTGATTTGCATGAACAGGGATGTGATTCCTACACATTTATTGGCAATAAGGCCAGTCAGAAGGCAATGCCCAGTTGGGGCCCCAGGTAAGTCAGCTGCTCTACTGGAGCAGTGCTTTGCCCAAATTAACTCAAGTTTCCCATGTGATGCTGCCTCATGCTCACCCCACTGGGATCAGAAGGTCTGAGATGCACGGACCATTTCACACTTTCCAGTTTCTTTCCCCCATCCCCAGCACTTCCAGGACTGAGGTCTTTCATATCAGGGAAGGTGCAGTGAAGAGTCCCACCATGGCCAATGAACTGCTGCAGATGCTGCACTGAAAGGCTGTTTCCAGAGCATCCAAGCAAGACTCCACATATCCTGGCCAGTATCTTTTTTTTGACCCTCTGAGTCTCTACAGGAGACCTTAATATGCGTTAACATGTACCCTTTATGTACTTTTATTTCTTCACAGGAAGAGGAAATAAAGGGCCCAAAATGCAGCTGGTTTTCCTGGGCTGCCTGGTGAGTCAGAACAGCTGGGAGTCAAGCTCAGAGCAAACCCTGCAGCATCCAAGCCCACCACACACTAGCTTCCAGGGCAGGAGCCCATCTGGATGCAAGATGCCCTGTAGGGGAGGGAGCTGGACCAGCAAGGCATGGACATGCAGCAGGAGACCTTTCTCTAGAGCCCATAAAATCACAAAGGGAAGCCTGGACATGTGTTCAAGGCCAGGTTGGACAGGGCTTGGAGCAACCTGGTCTAGTGGAAGGTGTTGGAAGAACAAGATGGTCTTTAAGGTCCCTTCCAACCCAAACCATTCCGTAATTCTATGATTCTATGGTATTTCAGCTGTGGAACACTGAAATGAAAGTGTGTTTGTGCCATGGGGGATCTGACTGATGGTACCAACTCTGCAGTTTGCAGCCCTGTACACTTGGTGCTTGGAGAGCTACTGGAAGAGGAGAGAGCTTGGGAAAATGCCTCTGGGAGGCTATTTGGAATTTTCTGCTTTGCAGGTGCTTTCTGAGAGGAGATGCACCCTCTCCCCATCAGGCAGCTTCCTGGGCCCCAGCTGTGGGCAGCTGCAGCACAACCACAAAATTCCCTGGCTGCAGCAGCCAAACAGGACAATGCTGGATGAGGGACAGCTGTAGGGCTGGTGGGACATGGTGCTGTCCTGGCCTCGTGGCTTGGAATGTGCTGCACACAGAGGCAACAGTTGCTGGAGAGAAATCATGCTGTCACTGAGCCTGGTGGAGAATTTCAGCTGGATAAATCAGTGAAAGCAAAAGGGAAGCAGAGGGTGCCTCCCAGATCTGCAAACCACCTCTTCACTGGCCTTGGGACAGTCCCATGATGGGGAGAGTGACAAAGCCCTTTCCCAGCAGTGGGGTGAACAACAGACCTGGCATGTAGGGGGACAAGGGTTTGTTAGAAAGCTGCTGGGCCCTGCTGGCAAATGCCAAATCCCTGAAACAGAGGCTGCTAAAACTAAAGGTTGGCAACTCGTAACAGAAAATTTTCAGCTTGAGGTGGCTTCTGAAGGGCTTTAGTGTTGGGTTATTGTTTAAAAGTGTTGTGTTTGTCCTGCTTCTCAGGAGAGGAGCAATGTGATTTCCAGTTGGTTTGTTAAATGATGTGCCATCTGTACCCTGAAACTCATGGGGCTGTGTCCAGACTGTCAATCCAAAGGCAGTGTTGGAGCAGTGCAATTCCCATAGCTCCTGGGGAGCTTCAAAAATACCCATGTCAGAGAGCCCAGGCCGTGTAGCCCAAATCACTTTTTCTTAGGAGAACCTCTTTTTTGTAATAGGGAACTTGGAGGTAATGAAAATGCTGGCTGGAGGAGGTAAATACCTTGCAGGGTTTGGCTGTGTTTGTACTGTGTCCACTGGGTAAGCCTGGGCTCGGAGACTGGTGATCCCAGGCTGAAATTCCAACAAGGAATATGCTAAAATTGGGCATTTGGATACATGTGGACTTGTGTTGGAGACTTCACCTTCAGGTGATTTTTTTTTTTGTTACTAACAATGAAATCAATAATGTGAGGCCACACTGCAGCTTTCCAGAGCAGGGATTTGATGCCACGTGGCTGAGGAAGCTTTGTTACAGTGCTGC